GTGAAGTGACTGACCGTCACCACCTAACATAAGTGAGCTGAATGTCCACAGTAGCTGGACACCACCTACCAGACCAGACAAACAGTGACTCATGAACTTCCTGACACCATTTCACAGATTTAAACGAAGAGCTGCTTTCACTGAGCACTGTCTCTACTCTAACTGGGTATTCTTCTAAACTGTGATGTTTCTGGACAATTTCTGGAAATGAAAGAACTATTAACTGTCCTTTGTTAACAGCATTGCTTTTGGTTGATGAATCTATATATTTATGTTCCTGCATGACTGTGGTAAGGATGCACATTTGGCTCTCCTGTAGGGACCATTTAAATAACCGCTACTCAAAGTAGCTCTCAAATGAATAGTTTCAGAGATATTATAAGAACTTTGGCAGTTTCTAACATAGTAATTGTCCTGTTGCTGCTTCAGTATTAACCCCACACTACCTCTGTCTGAGTGGACGCTCTACCACTGATCACCAGCAGATGGAGGTATAGGCCGGTGTAGTGTTGCCTTGTAATGAAAGGTTCTGCTTTTGGAGCAGAAATGAAATCATCAAGCCTTCAAGAATTGCACTGTATGTTTGTACATAACACATTTAAAGTGGTTTCAAATAAGAACAATTTGAAGTCACCTATTATATGATTATATGATAAGGGATTGTTAGAATAATATTTATCTGTGAATATACAGTCTTTTGCTGCTTAGATGTAGGTGCCTTATTTAAGATTCAAGAGTCAGTTTAAATATCCTTTCATGCTACTCAAATGACAAATAAATAATCCAGAATAAAGAATCAAAGCTGAAAAACACAAAACTGAAACATGAAAGCGATTACATTTCTTTCTTTCTTTAGCCTTTGTGCCTTTATTTGATAGTGAAGTGAGAGAGAGACGGGAAAGTGGGAGAAAAGAATGGGGAGAGGACATGTGGGAAAGGGCCAAGAACTGGATTCAAACTCATGACCTCCTCATCGGGACTGTAGCACTGCACATGGGACACCAGCTCAACCAGGTGAGCTATACCGGCACCCCAAAACAGTTACATTTCTTGAGTGTTAACGTTCACTCTCTTCTGGGGCTTTCAGCTGCCTCTCAGTGCGATAATGAAGACAATCAGATGAAATAGTTAAACCAGCCTGAGCTACAACACGGACATTTAGAGGCCACTTACAAACTGCAAACTGATTTCAGCTCACATTCAAAACTCATATTTTCACATTTGCACAGAGCAACAATCAGATCAGAACACAAACCTCAAGTGTAATCATGTATATTTTATTTCATGAGTAAAAAAAAAAAACAAACAATGATTCAACATAAAAAACTGTTAAAATTGTCCTAACAACCTAATAGATTATAATGTGAAAATAAGTTTGTTAAATGTGCAAAAGGTATAAATGCTAAAGTCTTAGTAAACAAAAAAGAAATGCAAATGGTTGGAGATACAGAAAAACAACAACAGGAAACTACATAAAAGTACAACTTATTTACAGCTTAAATACAGTAGAAAAAGATAGTGTGGACATTTTCTTTATGCACTACTTTGCATGGACGGACAGCCCTTAAATTAATTACATTTTGTTTTCTACATCAGATTTCCTCTATTGAGGGCAACAGTAATTATCAGTTTTAACTGAGGTTTAATTTCTTCCAAATGAATGATAATACATCCTCAATCAAAATAATCAGAACCTTTTACACCCCATGTTCTCATACTGCGTCAGTAGGCTGGTTTGTTTAGTACTTATTCTGCTCTAACTGCCTGTAAACTAAACCAGAGACTCATCCAGTTATTCATAAATGAGGTCCGTAGCTTTTATTTCATGAGTCAGTTCACCGTGGTAAAAACAAAATCCTACATTAAATGATCCCTCCGGGTCACTGGCCTACACTGCCTCTCCACCTTGTGACACAAAGAAATCCAGATTAGAGACTCGAGGTCGAGAGACTTTAATGTTAGCTGTAGATGGATAAAAAGGAGCAAGCTGACCTGGAATGTCACCATCTACAGTATGTTTGAACATCTAATCTTTTCACACTGATAAATACTGTAACATCGTGTGCATTTGCCGTAGATGATGAAGCAAATAGAAAAAACTAAACTACATCCCTTTTAAATTAGCTGCAAAAGGGACTATCTGTGCTGCTTTAAAATACACTGATGACAATCTGTGTCTTTTTAATGCCTTTAAATTTCAGAGCTCCAGAGATTTGAAGTCAGAAAGTACCAAGAGACAAACCAACACATTGCTGGTTTGGGTAATTTATTATTATTATTTTATTTATTTTACCTGTGTTGACCGTAACAAAACACTAAATACCAACAGGTAATGATGAATATCTGATCAGGTGGGTTCATATTGTAGGCTGAGAAGATCATAACCAAAGAGGAGTCCAAATTAAAAATCTGATCAGAGTTTCAGCAATCCTACACCTTCAGCAGGCTGAAAGCTGTGCTGTTCTACTGGCTTGTAAATGCACTTGTTAATTAAAAGTCCTACCAACACTGAGCCCCTAATGTAAACCGCTACAATATTTCTGTAACTATAGTTGTCAGCATTTTGTTTCCAGTCTTATATCAGTCATAAAAATGTGTCTTGGGCCTGGATCTAAAGGCACCTCTCTTCGAGCTGTCCAGATCGTCCTTGCTGTGGAACGAAACACTCTGTACGATCTGAGACGTCCTCCAGCGAAGCTTCTCCAGTTTGGGTTTCATCCTGCTGAGTGAAGAATTCCTCCTGACGGGTTTCTCTCTGGGTCGGTCCTCCCCGTCCATAGAGTCACAGTCAGAGGGGTGAAGCAGCCTGAGCGGCTTCAGGTTGGACTGGAGAACCTTAGAGAACCTCCAGCGGCCTTCATCCCTGCGGTCTGCTTTCTGGGACTCGGAGTGCTCGTATGCACCTATGATATCCCGTATGTCCATGCTGACATTGTCGGTGAGGTACTGGCAGGCCTTCCTCCCGCTGTAGTCTCTGATGTCTACGTCTGCGTTGTAGGCACCCACCAGGAGCTTCACCACCTCCATGTGGTTGTGCATGGCAGCTATGTGCAGCGGCGTGTAGCCGGTGTTGGAGCGAACATCCACATTGATGGGAACATTGTGCTGCTTGGCAAAGTTAACAATCAGGGCTATGAGCTCTGGTTTGCCGTGCTTGGCTGCCCAGTGCAGGCAGTTGAAACCGGTGACAAAGTCCTTCCTCAGGATGAGGCTGGGCTCTGCAGTGAGGAGGAGTTGCAGGCTGCCCCACTCGCCATCCGAAGCACACATCATCCACTCGTGCTCCACGGGGTCCAGGGTCACGGATGCCCTGTCGTCGTCCAGGCTGCAGGACACCAAGGAGGCCGAGTCGCTGTCGCTCCTGGAGGAGAGGTGGACCGAGTTGCGAAACACCATGTTGCGCCTGACCTGGGGCGAGCTGTTCATCATGAGCTCCAGGAAGTGTTTGCGGCTGCCTTTGGGGGTGACATTGCCTTCACTCCCTGACAAACTGTCCAGGTGTCCTTCATCCTCCTCACTGTCTGACCCTGGCTGTCCAGATACACACTTTGTCGCCACATTATTCTCCTCTTCTTTCAGGTCTTCTAGTGAAAGCAGCTCAGCTTGCCTGTCAGTAGGATTCAGACCAGCAGTCGCTGTGAGTACCTGCCCTGTACTACCGGTTTGTGCAGGCCCAGGCAGGGTGAACACAGATCCCTCAGCAGGGAGCGGCGACGCTTCAATCACCGCAATTTCTGGTATGTTGGGTGATTTTCCAGCCAGCTCCTTCTCTGTGGAGTCTCTCTTCTCTCGTTTGAAGCTTCCTCTGTTCCCCATCTCACCTGAGCTGTTGTCCAAGTCCTCCTCTATGCAAACAAACTCATGACACTCGCTCCTGCTGTCTCTTTTGTCCCGGACAATAGTTTCAGTGGGGAAAGCATGCGGAACTCTCACCTGGCTGTCAGTTCCGTAACCTGAGCCAGGTGCTGTTTGTTGTTGTCCCGCGGCGTGAGGCTCCTCCCGGCTGCCGTCCGTTCGCTCTGCACCGGCGGTGTAACGGACTTTCTCCTCTTCTGTCCTTAAATTGTCCCGTAGCGAAACGTGGAACTTCTTTCTCAAGTTTACATATTTAACTCCATCCTCGGTTTTCACAAAAGCAACGTTGTCGACGTAGTTTTTAAAGCTCTGCCGAACGGCCGCCTTCTTCTCCGGTTCCTCCGGGAAAACTTCTTTAAAGTGTTCAATTAAATCCGTGTTCCTCACTTTGCCTCCTTTCTCCCTCAGATAGCTCAGAATAGCCTCCTGGGTGCACTCTGTCATCGTAAACTTCATTAATGCGGTCACGTAGCATCTGAATACACTCCAGGGTTAACGGCTAAAGAGGCAAAACAACACACGTCCCCGTCCCTTTACCGAATTATGCGCCGGATAATCCCCCGGTACAGAAATGAACGCAGTAGAGCCGTTAGTTCAGCTGAAAACTGGTGACATGTACGTCTTTTCCCTGCGTTTTACTTCTAGCGTTCTCCGCCTCCTAGCAACCGAGTTCAGGACTGTACCATTCAGTCTGGGGGAGGGGTGGCGTGTGAAAAATGTATCTCTATTTACTGCACAAATCTATAAATAATTGTATATATTTTGTTATTGACACGTCTAAAATGAAATTATATATATATATATTAAAATTACATATGAGTGACACATTAATTTCTTTTTTGATTTTGCTTGTTTTTCGAAAGTGGTTTTCACTGCAAGTTGGCATGACCAGCTCTGCACTGAGGCCACCTGTCTGTTTAAGACAATACAGATGGATGACAAACGTGGACAACAGTGTGCTATGGCATTGATTCACCAAGTCTTTGGAACTCAATGCTGACAGGTTAGCTTCATAAGTGTTCAACTGAATAGAGAGCTGGTGACTGTGATTGAAACAACATATGATTCACCTTTCTCGTCTTCTTTTTTTTTTTTTAGCTCACCTTATTTTGTGTTATGTGGATGTGGATGACAGCCCAGCGTAAAAATGAAACCATTTCTGGAATGATGTGTTGTGGTGGAATTTTGTAACAGTAATTTTGTAGACAAAAAAATAAATTCACCTGTATTGTTTTGGTGAAATTTCAAGGTAATAATGTTTCAGATTAAACTGTAAACAACAGCAAAATGAAGTAGAGATGTACGCAGAGGTGAAGGGAAACAATTGCAAATAAACTAGGTGAATAACATAAATGAAATATATTATTTTGCTTTATGTTTTTTGTGCAATCCGTGGTTGCCGTTTTATGTTGTGGGAAAACATAGGCTGGTTGCTGTGTTGCAAAACAGGACTGACTGAGAAAGAGCAGTGGCCTGACTCATCCCACAGGTACTGAAACTTGCACAAGGTGGGTGATGTTTCACTGCCACCTCAGCTCTACAGACAGGATGTGTCACATCATGTTCAGAAGTCAGGATTATCGAGAATACTGCATAAATCCTCAGTTTGGTGTCAACAGTCTAGTGACTGGCTTGAGTTTCTTATGTGCACCATGTGTTTTCTAAAGCATAAATCTATGAGAAGGGTTTTATTCTGCAAATATCACATGGGGCTTGCAAAGTGCTCTACAATTACCTAATAAGCAAATCAGACATAATCAGCTTTAAAAAAAAAAAGTAGGTACACAGTTCTTACAGTAAAGCAGAACCACGCTGCATTTTAAAAACTCTATTTACCTACTTTATGGGCACTGTTTCATTTCAGCTCAGCGTGAGTCTCTGCTGCTGTTTTGCTGCTCTCCTCTGGGTCATTCTATCTTGAATCATCCAATTTTTAGAGCAGTTTTTGCTAAAAATTTTTAGCTTGATATATTTAAAAAAAAAACTGTACATCCACTTTCAGTATCTTTATTTGCACATTGAAATATGAGGCTATGTTTGGATGTTAATATCTCAGGAACTACTGCCAAGAACTGCCAAAAATCACACAAGAATTTCCAAAGAAGAAAAAAAAAAAGTGAAAACTATGATCTGACCGCCTAACTTGAATCTAACAAAATGCCGTTTAAACTAAACCTCTGCATGTTTTACACATGCTATAAAAACAGTTGAAGTCATGTTCAAAACTTGTGATATAAAAAAAAGAAGTGTAGAAAAAAAACCCTCTCCTAGCAAGGACAGCCAAAACTAGGCGCCTCATTTCATTCCTTCCCTTCATGACTCATTTCATAAAGGTCTTGTGCCAGTGAGCCGAATCCAAAATGTTTTGTAACTGTAGTGTTTCTCCATCTCTACCAGTCACAGAATAAATGCAACCCTAATCTCTATTCCTCAGCACTACACAGGATTTCTGTCAGTTTAGAAGGATCAGTCACATTATCAGATGAGGAAATGATTATTAGGTGTTGATTTGAACTTATGACCAAATGAAGCAGACAAGACTGTATTTATATGCTATACATTGTTTTTTCTGTTAAAAATGTGGCAAAAACTGTGTCTGGTCGGTATAATGAGATTGTAAAAATCGCAACGCACTAATGAGGCTTACCGTGGCTTTCGATTTAAAAGGGAACCTACTGTTCTGATTCTCGGGTAAAGAACTCTAATTCTTCGGAAAATGGATGAATGGCATGACGGATTACAAAAGTCAAGCCTTTGTATGTTTACAAAGACACTGTATTAAGATGAATTTGAACCAGTGGCTGCCTGCAGGTGATATTAAACAATCTAATACATACCTCAGTGCAGGAAGCCTGTGTGGTCCTGTGAATGACACTTCTATAAGCACCTTACTATCTCAAACAATCAACACAGAGAGCAATACAGGGACATGTGTATGTTGCCATGTATTGGTGAGAAACATGTACTGCTACATGTGACTGCTGCAGCTAAACTGCAAAGACGTGGTGCTAATTTTTACTGATGCTGCTTTATGATCGCTCAGCACACGAAACACGTTCCACACATACAGTTGGTGACAAAAAAAAAAACACTGTACACCATTATATACAGCAGCTGAACTATGGAAATTCAGTTCCTATATTAAATGTGTTTGAAATATTGAATTGGCGACATCCAAACAGAAGTACGCTGTCAGTGCATGCCAGCCAGCGCAGTTAGCCAGGTTTGCGCAATCCAGGGTGAGGCTCAGCTGGCAGCTGCCTCACCGGCTTGTCTTCCAAGCATTTAAATGGGAAATTGCAAAAATTGAGCAATTTAAAAATTACCAAAATTGGTGAGGCTAAATGGAAAAAATGAAGACTTGATAGTACAAATCACTGGATAAATACAACCATTTAAATTATTTTATCATTATATATTTTTTTCTTTCCGTGATGTCAGCCTCACCTGCCTCCCCTGACCGCACGTCACTTTTAGTAATAAATATTTTGTGCATATACAGTTGTTTCTTGTGTTTTCTATAGCTTACTTGGAGTCATTTTATGTGTCCAATCTTATGATTACCAAAGCTCAAATTTAATTCCCTGACATTATAAAACACTCTTGACTGATGACCAACAGTTTATCAGAATTATTGTGCTGACTCAGAGATTACATCAATGGACGAATAATTTAAAGGTCGGTTTGATCATTTTAATTAATGCAATAATTTTCTTTATTGTGGAGACAAGTCTACCTTATTTCCCCCCTTACACCATCAATATATGAATCAATTAAAGACTGAGAAATGTGGATTACAGGTCACTCATTGTGAGTTTTTATTAAAAAACAACATTACACTCCACAACCAGCAGAACGAACAAAACACAGCACTCGGTTCGGCCACAGCAGCAGCAGGTCACTGTGCTGTTTGTTTCAAATCCTTTAGAGTTGGTAGGATATTGTCCAGGTGACTCACTCCTGTAACAAACACACAAAGTGCAGCATCAGTGTGATTTTCTTCTCTGTTGGAAATTATAGTAACATTCACCTAAAATGTGAGCCAGTTAAGGCAGAAGAGATATACAGTCAGGCATATTCTCAGGAAGCTGAAGTTTCACTCAGAAATTTATGTTCTGTATATCTGTATAAGTGACTGACTGTGGAAGTCAGTAGAAGAGCTGTTTGTAGAAATATTAAACAGTCATTACATCGTTTGTCCTCCAGAGTGCAGTGATGACATTGTTTTCAAATTTTAAAACATCCTAACTACTACAAAAACTTTCACCTTATGTATGTTTAAAGTGAGGCTCTACGTAAGATTGTTTTAAATGTATATGTCATATGCTTTTCTCTGATACAAATCTTGTATTAAAATACTACTGTGTCAGGTAAAGTCAGGAGTGTAACGCAGCTATCACTGTGTCAACTTTACCTAGAGTCTGTAAGATTTCTGTAACGAGGGCATGGAAAGCAGGGAAGAACTCCTCATGCTGCTTCACTTTGGTGATGATGCTGGAAAACAAGATACATGCGTGAAAATCGAATCATTTAGCAGTCTGGATTACTGTAGCTCCTCAGAACAATACTCCTGTGCTGCTGGTACCTGACACTCCAAACTATAATTGCAAGTTCTGTATATGTGAACCTGTCAATGTCAGCGTCTCCCAGCAGATCATGCAGTCCTGCAGTGTGTTCAGTAGAGGAGACCAGCCTGGAGACCTGGTGCACCACTTCGGCAGGAGGAACCCTTTCATCTGAAAGAAAACCACAAATATTAACTAAACATTTGTAGTCTTGGTAGCTGGGCTTGCACTACAGGAGTTTTGGAGGCGAGATCTGGTCTGGGATCTTGGTCTGATCAGAAGTTTACAAAGAGGTTACAGGGGTTTTCCAGTTTGAAACCTCCTAAACTGCTACATAAAGTGGTGCACTGCTCCCTGATTGTTCCCTCTGGCATGATAATATTAATGATATTCTGTAGTGTGAGCGCTCCATCATTTTCCATTCTTGTAGTGTATGTCTGAGATCTGAAAAGAATATCTGTAAAGTTTAGTTAGGATTTTAAAACTTCTAGAGTGCTAGTCTGGTAACAGTTTTATCAGAAGCAAACAGTGGTTTAACTTCTTCTTAACTACTGTAACAATATCAAAATTAAGGATGGAAGAGGTTACTGAGGTCCAGAATGTCCCGGAGGTTCTTCATGGCATTGGTCATCTCCCCGAGTCGAGTGTAGACCGCGTTCATTCGTGGGTAAACCCCACTGAGTGATGTAACATCAAAGAGCTTCTGGAAATGAGACACCATATAGCCCAGATTGTACGGAGTGGGGCTCCTGAGGGCCTGGCAGGACAAACAACAACACAGAAAATACTTTCCAATAAATAAGCAGGTTTCACTGGATTCTGGGAGGATTTCATACCCAGCAGGGATACATTCAGCAGCCTTTGAGACCTAACTGTCAGAGCACCATGGAGTGTACAGCCGTGACTTGACAGTCGGACACTAAATGTAAAACCTTCTTTTATGTCGGATAGCAGGCTGTCGGATTGTCAAGACAGAGGTCGAGATACAAGGAGGGCTTGATGCTTGAAGGGTAGTTTGTTGTTAATATTTATTGTTTATAGTTGTTATAATAACTAGTGTATTGTTAGAACACTACACGTCGTTGGATTTCACACCTAATTGACCGGTGCGATTGTGCACGTTCCGGACAATTGCACCCCATCGGAGCGCACCCTGGGGGTGGAAGTGGCCAGAACACACAGGCAGGGTTTGGCTGCTGATGCTGGTTTAGTTAGCGGTCACAGTTCTGTTTCCACTGTCAGTGGTGGCAGCGGCGGGAAGATACGCTCCATCGTTACCATCCGTGTTTACTTCTGCAAACAATGAGCATGCTCGCTCATGTGACGTCGTTGTGTCCTCTTCTGCGCATGCGGGACACTTTTGGGTCATATTGTTCACACAGGAAATCACATACAAGTCGCATTTCATTGGAAATGTGAACGAACTCGCAAAAAATTGGATTTCACAAAAAAATCCGAATTGACCATTAAGTCCTGCAGTCTGAACGTCACCAATCTGTCGGATTAAGTCAGATAATATGCCATTATCCTTCTTTGTGACATAAAATGTCATGTCAGAGTCGGAATCCAAGGCTGTCGGTATGCTATGGCTATTTTTAATGGGTTTTCGGATTGTTAAGGGTCGGATTATCAAGTCATGACTATATGTGTACTACTGAATATACATTCAATCCAAGCTAAAGTTAGTAGAAAAATACTCAACCTTCTGATCATTAGTTGAAGTGGTTTCCAGCATGGCGTCCACAAGCAACATCATGTCCTCAACCTTCACTTCTTCAGCAGAATTATGGGCACCATCACACAGCTGCCAGGGCATCAGTCTGGCCGAAAGTTTATTTAAGCTGTGCTGAAGATCCTAAACACAATCACACACAAGATATCCCTTAAGCTCAAAGTAGAGCATCTTCATCAAAGAAAGAAAGAAAATCAAATCAATCAGGTATAATGCAAAAAAAAAAAAGGAAAACAACATTTGTTGAAGCCAAATCATACTGCTGTTGAGTTATATGTTTTGGTAAGATTGTCACTTTACTATGTGGAGTGCCCTGCAATGAACTTATGTTGTGAATTGCCGCTATATAAATGTAACTGAACTGCGACATAGAGAAAGAAAAAAACATCTTCTACATTTCTTAAAAACAAATACAGTGTGTCCGATCAACTACAACTGTGGTTTAGGATACTCAAGCGTGCAGATAGCTGGTTTTTACCTTCAGCAGATGGAGCTGCTGGGCCCATAGGTCCAGTGTGGGGAGGAGAGCCTGGAAATCAGTCAGCTCCGAGTCAATTGTGGAGGGTTTCTGTTTGTGGAGTTGAAACGGAGCACTGGGATCCATCACAACTGCATTGATTTCATTCAGCACCTGGAATGGCAGGTAGAAAAAAAGGAACTTAACATCACTTATATCTAAGAAAGTGGATTTCAGGAAAGAAAAATAGGTCGAAGAACTCTGCTAAAAATATTCACAAGATTAAGTGGAGATCACACTTACATTACGATAGCGGGCACACAACCTGGCTTCCCTGGCTTGGTCACTGATGTTCTCACTAATCTCAGTTGTGTTGTCTTCTTTGGGCAATCTGCAAATATGGTTGGTTCTGGGCATGAGTGGTGTTCTATTTAGATCAACACCTGAAGAGATTCTGAAGAGTTCAGCCCTTTGGTCATTTACTCAGTGTGATGAAGACTGGCTCAGAAACCATGTGATGGATACTTCTGTCTGCTATGCTCTGGAAAACTTCAGGCTGGTTCACAAATTTTATGGCAAGTGATCCATTAAAATGAAGCAAAATGTGCATTGCTACTGCATGAAGGATTACCCAGGGTAAGTTATGGAGAGATGTACCAATCAACTTCTTGAAAATTCGCCCAACACATTTGTCACTACTGCATTGATTGATTTATTTTTTTAAAACCCTGACATTTCCTCCATAAGAATCTTTTTAATGTGGTGTGTGTGTTGCCTTCTTATTCGGAGATATACCGATCAGCCGCTAAATTTCTCTCTGTGTTTTATTTACACCCAGAAAGGCTGTGTATATGAGAGAAAAACAAAGAAAATCCACTTAACCATAAAGAAACCATAAGCTGCATCTCTGGGCTCCAATGTAAACACCCTGTATGTAAACAACTCTTTTATTATATACAGTCTGTTTTAATGCAATTCAAACATTTTAACAACTGTTTTAGTGCTGCTGAAATATAATGAAGCAATACTAAATACAGAGTTATGAATCATAACACTGATAAGCAATAAAACCACTGTTGCAATGTATGTTTTCAGACTTGGAATAATAAAGATTATCTACAGTACAGTTTTTTATAGAAACACAAACTCTAAAGACTTTAAAGTAGCTTCACAGAACACACTTACAAGTGTTCCTACCTCATGTTACTGTTTTTGTTGAATCCTTCCAAATGGCGCAGTTTGTGTCTGTAGATCTTTACTTCTTTAACCATGCGAAACCTAAACAAGGAAAAAAGTCAAAACATTTTTTCACTTCTAAGATGTTGTTGTAGGAGACAGAAATTACAGTTTCTTTTATTTTTAATTTATTTATTTATTTATTTTTTACATTTTACTGGGTTTTAAGGGAAATGGTGTAATATTGAAATGTTGTCTCGCCGTAATCCTAACCAAAACGGACTGGAAAAAAAATCTGAAACCAAAACTTATTCTGAAAAACAATACGACACCAGCCAGGACAATGTGATGAAAATAGATTAATCAACTACTGAAGAAAACAAAAAAAGAAAACCAGACAAACTTCGAAGGCGGAAGCCCAAAGAAAGAGACTACAATCTCTACCCAAGAGCACAAATCAGAACAAACTCTAACCTATCTGAGGAAATCAGAAAACAGTATGACACTAAACATGACTAGAAGGAACCAGAGAGAAGTTACAACGTGTGATGGCCAGTGCATTTCCTTTAACTTCCCACCCCAAAATCCTGGGTCGACGGACATGGCAGGGGAAGTTATCGAGACAGATTTCAAAAACCTATCCATACTTTCTAATTAAGTCACACAATAGTAGCTGTTTAGTCCAAACATTCCAGGACATCCAGAACCAGTTTCTGTCTAATGAAACAAACATAAAGCCCAGGATCAGTTAAATGTATTTCTTACCCGACAAGATACAGTTTCCACTACTGCTACAGAAAAACTTTCATATATACATATATATATATACATAAAAAAAACAAAAACATTTTTTAAGACATATTAAAACAAACAGAAAATGGGTGAATGTAATTTTGCAGCTGTGAGCCTCATAGGGTTGAGGAATTCTTAACATCCATGCCTTTTTAAGGGTATTTTTGAATTTGGCAAACGGAAAAAGCTTACAGCTGTCAAACTGTGACACCAAAATGAATGTATGAGGCTTTATCTGAAAGTTAACATTCCAGTTTCTGAAAATGTGTTTATTTAGCTGTTACCCTGGAGTCTGTTAAGAGTTAAGTGCTGGGAAACACACAGAAACACAGTCAACATGAATACTGACAGCACAAACGTGGACCAACAGATTCATACCCACCTTTTGTCCAACTCTTTCTTCAGGTTCTCAACTTCACTCTTTAGCTCTTCTACCTGAGATTTGCTTTCCTCTTGCTGCTCCTGATATGCCTTGGAAGAAAAGAAAGAGTGTCACTTAATGTTTTGGGGAAATAAATTCTGAAAATTAAACAGTTTAAATTACCTTGAGAATAGTTTTGTAAGATGGAGTAACACTGATGGATGTCGTCTTAGCTCTCGTTGGACCAGACATTTTAGACCATTCGGATTCTCCTCTGACAGATCTGTGAAGAAAACAGCAAAATTAGAGGCAAGACTGTATATTAACAGGTTTAGTCGACATGTTAATGACAGCCAAAGCAGCTATTTAAACACAGACATTTTGCACCTAGAGATTTATATGAACCACGCTGAGCCTTTGATTGTATACATAGATGATTCTACTACTCTAGTGTTGCACGGAGAAAGAGAAGACACAGGAGTTACGAGTTGACAAGTTAAATACAATAAGGACCTGGGGTGGTGTTGAGGTAAAATTCAATAGTCCTCTGAGCATCCAAAGAGAGCTAAAGGGAGCCCAGCCTGTCATATTGTAAGGAAAATATAATTTTTATTTATTTTTTGACCAGAATGAATTCATTTGTGGCCAAGCTTGGGGACTCAAAATTTAGGATGCCTTCCCTCACAAAATGCCTAAAAAAAGTATAAGCTTAATCAAAGAAGCACACTTGTTTCCTAAATAAAAGTTTATGTACTTTTACACATCATGTACCAAATGCGTTGTTCAGCAATGCTCAGGTAAAGGCATCGCACCTGGAAATTTATGTACAAATCAAAAAACTAGGGACTTTGTAGATATGTTCAATGGCGTATATCAGCATGCCACACATCATCACTTGTGTGTTTTGTCGGAACGAAGTCTGCTGACAAACACCACTGCACTGCTATTTTTTGTACCATCATGGAACGTGTAGACAGACATTAGGAGGCAAGCATTACCTGAGCTCATCCTGCAGCTGAGATATTTTGGTCTCATAGAAGTCGATCACATCCAACACCCTGCAGATAAAACAACAGCAGTGAACTCAACACACCTCTAGTTGTTGTTAACTCTAAACTGTTCTGAACTATTCCTGAACAATTCCTGTGTATTATGTAAACTATGTTCCAAAACAAATAAGGATTGTTTCGTCAGTCATGTGAGATTTTGAAATGTAATTGTTGTTACTGCTGATCTGCAGCAGAGCTCTGCAGGTTGACTTTCTTGAAGATGCTCTGGTATGTCTGACTCTGTCGAGCAAATCGTCGCTCTTCTTCTTTGATGGTGAAATAGAGTTTCTTTTGAAGCTGAGCTGCTTCCTCCTTTTGTTTAGACAGCTTCTGCTCCAGAGAATGACATCGTTTCTGAAAAGATTAAACACAAATGCAGTTCAGTACTTAAACCAGGCTCTCTTGAACAATGAATAATTACTGAACATGTTGATATGTGATATTTAAGTATACATGCGTGCAACCCGATTAGCATGTGCTCTTTATAAGAAAAAAATAAAAAATAAAAATCAAGTAGTGAATTTAATAGATCCACCTGCTCACAGTACAGTGATTAGAAGCATTATTTGGCCAAAATAACAAAATTTTCACTACCCTATTGCTCTATTTGCAAAATCTGTCTCCTTTTGACTTCATTCTTTTCCCCCTACTGATGGTACTCGACATGCATACAGAGCTGGACTTTCAGGGACAGCATTGCAGAAGCACTGGGAGCAGTGTATTGCTACACAAGGACACTACTTTACATGGGATAGTGGCCAAATATAAATCATTGTATGTGTCCGTTATTGTCCTTTCTCTGGGGCCATATTTGAAAATGTAACAAAAAAAAAAGGCTGGCTCAGTGACACACCTGTGCATCTTGTTTTTCTTGCTGCAGCTGCTGTGCGTGGCTGTGTTGCTGGGAAACCTTGCCGAGGTAGCGATCCTCCAGGTCCTGGACTCTGGTCTTCACCTCGTCCAGCAGCCCCTCCAGCTCTGTGGCTCTCTGGGACTGCTGAGCTGCTCGGCTCATGTGCTGCTGAACCTCCTCTCTGACAACAGACACACACATACACAGGAAAGACAACATTGCAGACAACATATGAAATGTTTGTCTCTCTCCTGTTTCAACATATTTCTGTAAAGAAATGGTTTTGCGCTTTGGTGTAGAAAATCGTGACTGAGTTGAGGCTTTTGAAACAGCAGATTTATGGTTTTGAAATGACACCTTCAACGATTATAAACAGTGAGGATGAAGTGTTCTGGCATCTACACACTTGAGCACGAAGTGTGTCTGTGGCAAATAAATGTATACGATTATTGATGTAACACAACAGCAGCTTTATAAGTAGTACGCTGTACTTATTAGAAACTCATAGTTACAGTCAGCTGCTTTCCATCTCATCACTCTGTAACCCAGCTTCAGGTTTATCAAATCAAATTAAATCAAGTTTATTGTCATTTTGCTGTACATACACAGTAGTACAGGCAAGATGAGAGAGCGTTTCTTCAGGATCATTCAGCCACAAGTTTTGCGGATGCATGTCTTGGATAAGACACTAAACGTTCATTGTCGCTGTCTCCTGAAGGGGCCGCTGTGTCCATGCGTGCTGCCATTCATTGAACATGGTGAACCTCTTCAGGTCCTGGTAGGTCTTCAGGGACACAAAGACACACACGATGGTGTGATGATGGTGAAGCCGCAGATGCTGCCCAGAGCTAGCGGTCTGTCCGCCTGGAATAATGTTGTCTCCTTCAGCTGTATGTCTGTCTGGGATGTTTTCATGGAGCCATGTTTCTGTAAAAGCAAACACACAGTAGTCCCTCCACTCTCTGCAGGTTTCTCTCAGCAAACGTAGCTCATCCAGCTTGTTGTTGAGGGAGTGGACATTGGAGAGTAGGAGGAAGGTCCTGCTGGTCTGGAGGGGTTAGCCTTTAGCCTAGCATGGATCCTGCTGGTCTGGAGGGGTTAGCCTTTAGCCTAGCATGGATCCCGGCTCCCTTCCCTCTCTTTTGTTAACATTCGTACTGTTTGCACTTCCTTCTCTCTCGGGTAACTGCCGGCGTAAACTCCAAATGGATGCCGTGTTGGTGTAGTATGTCCAAGTCACAACCAATCGCCGCAATTCGAGCACCGTTCACTGTCCTGACGCACAGCAAAGTCTCCCGGCCACAAGTTTTGCGGAATGAACGTCTGGGATAGACAAGACACTCAAAACGTTCACTTTTGTTGTCTCCTGAAGTGGCCACTGCGTATATGTGCGCCACCAAAACCATGGCAAATAAGTTTACGCCTCATACCTGCACTGAGAAGTATATCCCTGTGATACTCATCTAATGCTGATGAGATTGGATGACAGGACGACAGGTGGTCCACACCACAATACATATACATTATTAAACACCCACAGAAATGCATACAGCAGTCATGTGAACACTAAAACAAAGACCCCCAGCTGTTATTGCCCAGTTTGACTTAAACTGTTCCACACATTGCAGCTAGATGACATTTGTCCTGTCAAAATAGTGATGTGACTATAATGGTTGCTTTAGGTTGAAAGCATAAATAGACAGTACTAGAGCAGTCATTAAAGTCAAATTTTCTTCTTTTAAGTTTTGAGCTTTACAAGTGTGTTTAGCAGCTACAAGGCTTAAATATATTGAAAACCTCACTTAACTAATATGCAGACAACTGTTATGGTGGTTTTGTCTTTTCTGGCAGTGCATCTTCCAGAATACTGCCTGTGTGTCTTCTCCTCAGGTACTCATGTATTTCATTAGTGCCACTGTGGTCAGCCATCAACGCTTTGCACAGTATGAACAAAAATGACTGATGTCATGACGCAGAAGAAAAACATTTAGCATTAAAGTTTATTTTAGTTGCATTGGTAGTGTCTAAAAATCATGTCATAATGTTCAGCAGGTTATTTGTTGAAACAAACAAGATGTGTCTACGTTTTTTTTCTTTAACATGTTTTTGTTTTGCAGCTTCATAATCAAGTAATTGGCTGATGCTAATTATGTCAACATAGCATTTTATTTAGATCTAATTGGTTTATCACCTGTTCCTAACCCTAGACTACATTTAAAGGCCCTCTCCAATTGTGTATTAAGGCATTTCAAATCTTCTGCTCTCAATAATAAATTGTGTCTTGCATGTTTTTTTTCTCCCGCACAAAAAGTGCAATTTACTTACATATTCTTAAAATCATATAAAATATTCTCCCCTTGTAAAATATTTAGAATCTTATTATGTGAATCACTATAATTATGTTACTGCTTTGGACAAAATGTGGCAGTGACTAACTTTTCAGGATGCTTTAAATATGTTAGGTTTCATTGTTGGGCTTACTTGAGTAGGTTGTTGGACTTGACGAGCTCCTGGATGAGAGCCTGTCTCCTCTCTGAGTCTGTCAGCATCGTCCTCAGTGTCGTCCTCACCTCACAAGCTGACTTCTTGTCCAGCAGGACCAAATCTAAGGACACATGGAGAGCAATACCACGGACACATCACTAATAAAGAATACTCATATTGTCCAATGTCCATCCCTAAAAACAAGGCATCTGCAAACTTCTCAAAGCCAAACATAAGTACTTTAACAGTCAACTAAACAACATAAATTACTGAATTCAAAACACTTCATCACTCTAATCTATTTAAATAGTAAAACTTCGCCAGAAAATCAAATCTAACTGCACTTACCTGAATGGTTCTTATTCTCAACAGGATCAGCAAAAAACACTGGCTTAAAACCATGATGCTGCAAAAGCCTGTTCACATCATCCCATTCCACCTGCTCCTGCTGCAACACAGACACAAACAATGAATTTCAGTGCTGCAGTTTTTAACTAAATATACATCTACTGCAAATATCTGAGGTTTTTGCTCTACCTGAAACTGCCTGTAGGTCCACAGGTACACATATGTCTTATTTCTTGACTGTAAACAATGTGCAATCCTGGTGTCCATATCAATTCTTAAAAATCTCTCACTCAATGCAAACCTAGCTCTTTAAGAAGGATCACTAGTTTGAATTTTTGCAGGACTTGGGTGCCTTTCCTAAATGATCTGGCTCCTGTCAAAACCCACTAATGATCAGGTTTCTGCAGCCTCCTCAGCTGAGAGGAGCTGCCACTTTTGAGGCTACACAAGGAATGAAAGGCGATACACTCATGCATGAGCTCCCTGACACCACTCCCCGCAAACACAAGCCTCTGGTGGTATCTAATGAGCATCATAATCGTATAGATAGAACGTTATTAATCCTGAAAGAAAATCTAGCACTGAATATTGCATAGAAAACTGGCAGTGACACTAAAGTGAAAAACATCATCGTGAAGTATTGCATATTTTAATGAAATATTGCGCATGATAGTGAAATATTGCATAAGATACTGAAACTGACATTGCGCACACTTCAGAAAGTAATATCGCAAAAGATATTTATATAATTAATGAAGCTAATCTTCATGCAGACATTGTTATGAAATGCAAAATGTGACTTACCTGTTCCATCTTTTTAAACCACTGCAGTAAATAAAATAAAAAGCACAGTGTTAATATCCAGAGAGCTACTGTAAGCCTCGATTAAGTTTTTCATAGCATTGACCAAATCTGAAGTTGAACTCCATTTTAAAAACTGGCCATTTAAATTTGATGGCCTGTCAGTAACAACATGCAACTCCAAATTAGAAAAAGTAACACCAAGTGGGAACCTTGAGGTTTTTCTGAAAAATTCGGCATACAAGTCACCAACTAACTTTTATTAAAATTACACTAAACTTGCCATATTTTCAAAGGAGCTCAGCGTCAACAGTGCAGTGCGAATTAACAGAAACGACAGTTTCTCCACGTACATTCCTACCTTTAATTCGTTCGACTACCAACAAATGTCGTGTTTATACAGTTTACGCCAGCAAACTGAGTAAACATTAGCATTATCAGGTTAACAGCTTGGTAAAGAGATACCTCCTCAGGTGTTTAAAAATCGACGTTTAATTTACTTTTGCAAAAACCCGAACCGGAATGGGCTGGGTTAGCATTAGCTCAAGTAGCTTACAAGGTGAGCGTTATCAGTAAATATTAACGATACATTTCATACGCTTTGTGGACTGTAAAGTAAAACATACAGCGTGAGTTATGGGATAAGTTACCCGTTTTTGACGCTGTAATAACCAGCTGCCTGTTTTTTCGACGGTCGAAACAGTAGATATGCCTCTTCCGTCATTCAAACAAGTGCGCGGTGACGTTTCCGTGGTAAACCAATGGCAAGAGGTTGTTTGACTTTTCCACCAATCAGCTTACAGAAGGTCGTAGCACAATGCTGCTGTACTAAACGATTGTGACCAGAAGATGGCAGCAAAAGTCCTCAACGCAGAAACATGAATTCTTTGAAGGGTATTTATGACAGTGGTCAGAAGTGTGCTTTGCGGCACCTGTTAAATTACTGCACTTCAGAAAAAAAAGGAATTTCAGTTGTGATTTTGGAGCAATTTACTACAATTTCAACCACCCAAAAATAATTCGTCATTTCTCGTAAAAAAAAAAAAATACAGAAAAAAATCATTTACATAATTAAAAAAAAAGAAAGAAAAAAAAATGCAATAGGGTGTCTCTTCATTTCAATGCTGATAGCACACAGCTCTTGCTGCCTATTGGATCATCAGTCCTGTTATCTCTTTTCTGTTTGTTGTCTTCTTGTCTTGTTCTCATGGCTGACTCTGTAATGTCAAAACTTGGATGTAAAAAAATTAATTCTTCTGCTAAATTTATAATAAAACTGAGATTCTTGTTGCTGGGTTGCAGCACATTGCAAGTCCATTGTATAGCCTTTTTTTTTTAGATATTGAATTTAATCTGTACTTCCACTTCCACTCCAAAGCAAAACGTGCAAAACTCGAAATGAATTGTAAATCTTGTCCTACACGATATCTGACATTTCTTTTGACTGTCTGCTGTCAGTGTACTATACACATGCCTGCCTGCCTCCTCATGTGAGAAAGTGTAGATTTCATAGATCCAGGAAGGAAAGGTCATCGTCATTTAATAAAGGCTAGATGGAAGCGAAGACCCTGGCTACTCACTGTGTCCCTGCATACATCAACTCCACTGAGCAGAAAATTAAAATGGAAATTCAGGCCTTGAACAGAGTCGAGGGCCCCATTGACCTGTGCTGTATGATTTATGGCAGGTGATTACATCATCTCGATGCCACTTGTACCACTGAGTTCAGTCAATGCTCCAATTCATGAGTATTAATTTCAAAATACGGAGTTTAGAATAGAGTTTGACTCTCTTGTTGCTGATTATTAGTCACTGCTGTATAATATGAACAATTAATGTAAGGCTTAATGAAAATAATTGCCTGAATATATTGAACATTTGACTTAGGCAGATCTGGACCATGCTGGATTCCTATCTTTCAGGTGTCACTGGATTAGTCTGAAACCACCGAGAACCTTATTATCTCACAGGCTGAATCCAGGTTTACATGGTCGAATTGTTTGTAATAAAGCTTCTTGAAATGAGTTTTATCAGAGCTGGCAGGACATTTTTATGAAGAACTTCATCATTGTGCATCCAAGTTACAATTACAAATACAGGACTGAATGTGGTCTTTTTATGAAATCAGATAAACGTGGGCCTCTTTCCCACTGGTTCATTTCAAAGGTCAATTCATGCTTTGTGTTCTGTGATACCTGTAGTAGTAGCTACCTATTCAGAAAGGTGGTGACCACAATTAACTATTTACTGTCTATTTTACTCTAAATGGAATCATAATTTACAAAATGAACATCATGCTGTATTGAAATAAAAATTAAAACTATCAGTTGAGACTATAAACTTAACAGAAAAATGTTTACTGACCTAATAATTCAAGTGAGAAATAGAGTAATTTTCTCTTCTATAGAACCAGACTTCAGAGGATGACCCCTTGCTGGTCATTACAAAAACTGCAGGTATCTTCTGCATTGGCTTCATCAACCGTTAATATCTGGCGTCTCATACCAGCTTGTTGACAGTTGATCCTTCGTCCCCTTTCCATTTTGGAGTGAGGAACTGGGGTCATGCTTTTTCTCTCATTCCAAACTCCACCCTATCATAGTATTTTAATGAGAAAAAACTGCTTTTACATGAGATCCCTTTCGAACTTGAAGTATCTTTACTAATTTATTTTGGATTGGCCACTCCTCTGCATTTGAATTGAATTTCCCTTCTGGGATAAATAAAATATTTTTCATTTCATTTCATTCATTTGATTAGTAACTTAATGAAAAAACCTGCACAGAGTGAGTTCATGAAAGATATGGAAAGCCTGAAGAAATTCAAATGTGTGACATACTGTTGTTGTAAAAGTTCGGCTATAAAGTTAGAAATGATTGGGAGGTTTGTACGACACCACAGTGAAAGACCAAACTGCTGGAGCATTTTTCTGACCATCTGCTGAGTGCTGCTGTACTGTATGTACATTAAGTTCATGCACAGGCCCATTAAGTGGTTAATGGGGCTTGGGTGGTGAAGAAACAAGCTGCGACAAATGAGGAGACGTCCTAATGGACGATCAACTTCAGCCACTGACAGGGAGGCATCATTTATCTCACTGGGCAAAAAAAGCATTCACTTGTAAAACTGACTGAGTTAGACTAAACATGATGTTAGCATTTTGTGCTGTCGTTTGACTTATCTGAGGTAAAAAGGCTCATAAAATGGTGATTCACAGCTGCAACACTAATTTCCTTAGATGGAGAGAGCATTAAAAAAATGAAACATTAACATCATTTTAAAAAATCTATGAAAGAACCAGAATGCATGATTGTACAGCTGCACACTGAGAACAAGTTGCTTTATTGGAATACTATAGTACTGTAAGGTCTTTAAGCTAGGATGGAGCTTAGGCGTGATGCATGTAAGGAGAGGAATTTTAAATTCTATTCTGGATTATACTGACAGCCAACAAAAATAGAATAATAAAGGGAAAAAAAAGATCTGTGAGTAGGGCTGCAATTAACGATTATTTTAGTAGTCAACTAATCTGTCCATTGTTATTTCAATTATTTCTGTCACGCCCACCATTTGTGCTTCCTGTTGATGCAGCTCTTTTTACAGGCTCCAGTGTAAGTTGTACCCCACTCTCTACATTTGCATCCCATAATTGTCACCCTGATTTCCGGTCAGTCACAACACAACAGAATGTCCTTAAGTAAATTAAAAGAATGACTCCTGAACCAGTTGGATATGAAATTTACGCTGAACAGCTTACTCTTATTTAACACATTCAAACTCTGCTGAATTGTCATATTCAATTTTCAATTCAATTTTATTTTTATAGCGCATATTTACAACAACAAGTCATCTCATAGCGCTTAATTCTTTTTTTTCTTTCCTTTTTCTTCTCTTTCTTTTTTTTTCAGCTCAGCCACACTGCACAGGAGTGTTCACATGAATAGTTTTAACCGGTTGATTGCTTGACCATATTGCCTTTGCTTTGAAGCTTATATATGTTTTTAACCTGTAAAACTGCCTCTCTTTTATTGTTGTAATGTTATTGTACACTGTATTTTTTTTNCGCAGAAAGATTCCGGTGCCCCCACCGGGACGCGAACCGGCAACCTTCTTGCTGCGAGGCAACAGTGCTACCAACTGCGCCACCTTGCAGCCCGCTTTGAATTTCTAAAACAGCAAAATCAAAACAGACAATGAAGCTAAATTAGTTATCACAAAATGTCGGCTACCACACCACAGCACATGCACACTGGATGAATTAATCCATTTAACTGTTTCAATGTTACAAATGAATGATGTTATTTATTCATACTATGTATTTATTATTTGTTACCAAACAGCATGTAGGCCCAGTCTGATGCTTCAACCCACAGAGCTAAAACCTAGGCTAGGTAGGCAATGTTAGGGGAAAAATCAGATACTTTGGGATTAACTGTAACCATTTTTAAGACGACCGACTGAGACACACTACGTTTTAATGATGCTAGCATGTGCTGCTGTCGTCTTTATAAATGATTCTGTTTGCCGAAGCAGTAGGCGTCTTGTTTTGTGTCTTTGTGATCTTAAAAAATGGTTACAGTTAATGTTAGCACTGTCAGGGAAGCTGTACACTTCTATAATTCGGTGTTCTATTGCACTTAACACGTTCATTTTCATGAAATGGCCTCAAAATGATTAATGTCATCCTGAAGTATGTAGCCTGTTTCTTGCAACGTAAACAAAAATACACACGGTAATGCTAAATTACCCATCCGGAATGCTGGGAGCCATGACTCTGGGGTGCTTTGTTTCAGATGCTCATGCATGGCTGCCGTGGTATGCCAGACTGCACATTTCACCTGATGTGACACTTTATTTAACTTGAAATATTGCCAAACTCTACTTTCACTCTGACCCTTGTGACGGCCACAGGCCTTGCCAGTGTGTGTTTTCCTGCCTCTGCTTTTCTTTTTCCAGTCTGGAAAACCTGCCCCTCCCATTTCGTTAAAGGATTGGTTTCACCTGCTTGGTGCCTTTAAAAGCTGGGGGAAACCAAGATGGCTTTCTCTCTTTCTCCCTCCTGGAAGGCTGGAGCCTTTCAGGTCTCTCCGGGTTTGGCTTGGCTTGGCTTGGCTTGGCTTGGTTTGGTTTGGTTTGGTTGTATTTGATTATGCTGAGTTTCTAGACCTTATTATTATTATTTTTCCTTTGTTGAATATTTTCAATAAATTACTCATTTACTTTAAAAGCTGTTCCGTGTCGACCTCCCTTCTTTGTTATGCCCTTCAACGAGCTGGGCATAACACCCTGCTCAGCTTGCGCCACCACCGGTCTTGAGTTGGTCTTTGTTGGTTGAGAACACAGACGCTGCAAGTAGTGGCTGTGTCCGAAATAGTCCACTCACTCCCTACTCACTATACAGGGATCACTATATAGTGCACTACGTAGTGAACTATGTAGGGAGGAGCACCTAGGCAAAGTAACATTTCGGACACTACTCAAGCTATTAATTACGTCGCTCACTAGCCACGATTTGTGCCCCAACAGCGTAGTACAAACGCATCAAATTCAGTTTATTGCATAGCTAAGAAATCAAATTAAATCAAGTTTATTGTCATTTTGTACAGAGAGCGTTTCTTCAGGATCCAGTAACTTAAAGCAATTTAAATAAATAAGTTTGCATGTCCGGATCAGCAGTTCAGCATTCTGACAGCTGTATGTCCATCTGGGATGTTGTACGGGTA